GAAGCAGACGCCGTTCCTATGGGGGTTTCAGCACCGGGAGGTGAGATCTCTGGCTGCGAAGGGTTCTTAGCTTGAGTTTCAAGTTTGACTCTCCTAACAGCTGTTCAGCTTTGAGATGACTTAGTCCTTCTGGATCTCAGCTTCCTCATTTAAAGGAGCCTCAGTTTCCTCAATGTGCAATGAGGATGATGACATATCTGATATTTCCACTTGGCATCTCCAATTCGACGGAATGAAGTGGCGCTCTTGATTCTTCCTGCCAGATTGATTTCTTCGGCAGCCCTCTTCAGCGTGATCCCACATCATCCATCTGATAGTTTATGATGGAAACCTGGGGACAGTCATTTCCTTCCCTGCTCATCAGGAAGCCCTAATGATTGCACATCTGACTCCCATTTTTGACTCACACGGCACTGCTCTCCAATTTCCCAGCCACCACTAAGGACTATGGGAGCAACCTCCCAACTTGTTTACTTGCTTCGGTTCTTGGTTCTTCTCCAACCCATCGTTAATCATCAGAATCAGGATAAGAACACTTCTATAGTGTTCTCTACGCTGGCCACTGTTCTAAGTGCATTATGTGTATTACCTCATTTAATCCATATACTAGAAGTAGATGAATCCCTACTTAAAATGAATCCAGGCTTCCTATTTTAAGAATCATGTTCTACCTCCCTATCTTGCTCTGCCAGATTCCGAGTGTTGTGTTCTGGCTTCCAGATGTCTTCATCAGGTCTATGTGTCAAGCAGGTCTTCTACAATGACTGACTGAAAAGGCCAAGGTCCAGGGCAATGCCTACTAAGTACTAAGAGAATTAAGAAGCCATCTTTATTTCCTGTAGCTCTCTTCTTGTGGTCCTGCCTTAGTGCATTTTTTTTTTTTTTAAGTCTTCGCTATGGAAAATTTTTAACAAATGTAAAAGTAGCCAGAATAATAAAATTAATTCCTGTGGGTATGTCCCCCAGAGCCAACAGCCATCACATCATGGCCAATTTTATTCCATCTATGTGCCCATCCATCCCCCATCCTAAATTATTTCAAGGCAAAGCCCAGATATTATATCATTTCTTCTGTAAATATTTTAGTATGCATGCCTAAAAGATAAGATCTTTTTTACTATGCCATACCCAAAATACCATTATCATACCTAAAATTATTTAAAAAGCCACTCCTGAATGTTGTCAGTTGTTATATATATCCTATTATCAATTATTATATGTCAGTTATTATCTCATCCTTAGAGTACATACTTTTATAGTTTATATCTGAATTTATTCCAATAAAGTCCACACATTTTCATTGTTTGATGTATCTGACCAGTATTTATAGGTTTCCCTGTTTTTGTTTTTTCTTGAAATCTTCCTTTTAGGAAATTGTATCATATATCCCATCAAATTTTCCACGCTGCATATTTATGATTATGTTTCTGTGGTGTGGATGAGCATTTCTTCCCTTTTTTGCATTTCCTATAAATTGTAGACACTTGATCAGATTCAAGTTCTATTCTTTTGATAAGAGCACATTGTAGGGTCACCTGGGTGGCTCAGTCGGTTGAGCATCTGATTCTTGATATTGGCTCAGCTCGTGATCCTGTGGTTCTGAGATTGAGTCCCACATGGGGCTCTGGGTTGGGTATGGAGTCTGCTTGGGATTCTCTCTCTCCCTTTGTCTCTTCCCCCACCCCCCACTGTCCCCCTCTTGTGCTCTCTCTCTGTAAATAAATAAATAAATAAATAAACATTAAAAAAAAAAAAGAAGAAGAAGAACACATCTTAGATGGTGTCCTACTCTAGGTTTTCTAGAATAAGACTGTTCAATAGAACTTTCTGATGATGAGACTATTCTATATTTGTGTTGTAGAATTATGGTAGCCACTGGTTCATGTGGCTATTGAGCCCTTAAAATGTGGCTAGTGCAACCAAGGAACTGATTTTTAAATTGTATTTAATTATAAGTAAACAAAATTTAAAATTTAAAGCACTACATGTGGCTGGTGGCTGTCAGATGGAATAACACAGCTCTAGTGTTTTCAAAGGCACTGTTGGTTTGGTGAAATAAAAAACACGGCCAGTTTGGCCAGTGGGGCTGGAGTTAGGCTTGTGGAAGACTATCTTTATTAAATAAACAAGCCAGTAACTGCCTTCTTTGTGTTATGTAGTTAATGCAGTTGTACCCATCAGTGCCTGGAAGGACCAGAGTTAGGATCCAGTGCCTGTCCCTGAGCAAAATTTGTGTTCCCTTTGCAAAGAGGAAGGAGAATTGGCTATTGGCAAGGTAGATCAGATGTTGTGTGGCTTGATGATTATACACTTTGAAATCTCTCTTTAAGAAAAGGCATACACAATTCTGAAAACGAAATTAAGAATAAAAAATAAACTTCACAACATTCTTGGGTGCCTGGGTGGTTCAGTTCGTTGAACATCTCGACTCTTGATTTCGGCTCAGGTCATTATCTCAGGGTTGTGGGGTTGAGCCCTGTGTGGCTCCATGCTAAGTGTGGAGCCTACTTGGGATTCTCTCTCTCTCTCTCTCTCTCTCTCTCTCTCTCTCTCTCTCTCTTCCCCTCTCTCCCACTTGTACTCTGTCTATAAATAAAAAAACTAAAAAAATGGTAACATTTTAAGTAACTGCCTGGCACATCCCTCTGAAACATTTTATTCGAAATCCTCCTCACCTGACAGTGAATTTCTGCATAATTTTTTTTAGCAAGGATAGAAAGACCATTCAGTCTTTTCTCAACATGGGGGATCAAGACGTTTTTTTAATCAGTAGTTTAAAAAAGTTTCAGCCTGACAACTTGCTTATTGGTAATGTTATGTAAAGATGTAAGGTTACTGCCAACTTTGACAAAACCCACCCCCCCGGTTTCTTTTATAAATGAATTGTAAGATCTCCAGGTATTTCAGGTTGTCTTGTGTGTTGGCGAATCTCAAACACTCTTTCCATTCATGCTACTCGTAAAAGAGTTCATTTTCAATGTCCTCATTGTAATGCGTGTTATGAGTTTTGTGCTAAATTTGTTGTTAGTCTTTCGTGCCAAATTATTAAGAAAGTAAGATTGTTTCCAGTGCGTCCGCATGATTTGAACTATTAATCACATTAGCAAATAATCCCCAGAGGCTCTTCATTACTTTTATCCTCAGTCTATCTTTTCTTCTTAATATATTGCTGCTTTAAAAAATATATGCTGGGTGTAATCCAAATGGTTCCCAAACCTCACTATTTTCTTTTAACCAGTGCCCATTTACCTTGAAGGGAGCCACGTCAACCTGTTCTAGTAAACACAATCAAGTGTATCCTCAACCCAACTAACCCACCAGTACACCCTAAACTGTCTATTGGCACTCTGCTACCATTTAGCATGAGAGGAGATGTGAGTGAAGAAAACTGGGGTAGAAAACGGAGGTGGTTATACTTCACGGTGGTAAACAATCTTACTCACACAGGTAACCTTAAGGCGAGAGCTTCCTTTTTCCTGGCTTTGGAAAGGAGCCCAGCCAAGTGAGTGACCTGGGAGCTTAAGCTTCAACGGCTTCGTGGTAAATGGTAAGTCTACCTCTGCCTTCCACGTAGGCAACCACCAGGGTCTGCTGGCATAATGTCAGGAGAGTCAGAAATCACCAGGAGTGGTGAACTGAGGACGGTCTAGAACCAGGGATTGGTTTGGATCGGAGGAACCACACCAAAGCTGGTTTCCAGGAGGACCCGGACTTGGGAGCAGAATGGAGACAGGAGGCACGAGGTCCCGGAGGAAGTGCTACGATGACTGGTGAGCAAGGAGATGTAGCAGATGTGCAGGGGCCAATACTGATGCATTCCAGATGGTCACGGCTGGACCAGCAGGCAGATGGACATTACTGATGGGCACGAGGAGTTTGGAAGGGTGGGATTGTCACATCCTGTCAGGGGCACAGTGCGACTTAATGAAACTGGTCAAGAGGGGTTGAGATCTGGGGTAGCTGAGCCCTCCGCCGGCGAAGGATTCTTCTTTAGAGTGTGGCCAAGCTGGCCGGGAACCCAGTTTTTCTGACTCCTGTTTTTTTCTTTACTCCAGGCTGCTGCCCAAATAAAACCTTTACCTCAAGCTACGCATTCGAAACTGGAAGAAGGCATTCGTTCTTGCCTAGGGAGAGCCTTCCTGGGAGGTGGCTCATCAAACCCTCGTGGTGGGTGGCTCCCCTTATTGATGGCCTTATCAGCGGCAGGGGATCTTTGCCTGGTGCAAAGAAACATCCGTAAGACAGGGGAGGGAGAAACCTATTGTATTAAATCTTTCTCCTTTCAGTGGTTTTCCCTCCTGCCTCCCACAGACACCTGGTATCAGTTCCAAAAGACACATTTTAGTGCCTTTAAGCAAAGCTAGTTCTTCTGCCTGGGCGAACTCTGACACTGAACTTTCTGTTTCCAGCCCCCTTAAAAAACCTTCATCAAATTTCCACCACGCAAAGGTTGAAGTGTTTCGGTCACCGAAGCGGTTCGGTGATGATCGTGGTGGCTGTTTCTTAAAGGGGCTACTCGTTCATTCATTCATTCATTCTTTCGTTAGCTCGTTCATTCAACAGACACGTAGCAAATTCTGCAGTGTGACAGACATTGCGCCTGAAGGCAGAGCAAACACAGTCACCTTTGCGGCCATCTCGGGGACTCGCATGGAATAAATCACAAACAAACGTAAACTTGCCACACTCACCTGAATAAAAGGCATAGACCTGACCTCTAGGTTCAACCACTATGCAAATACGCTGCTGGGTCAGTGTGAAGGTATTTAAAGGCGTCCACGTGACATTCTCCTCAGATGGCCCCCATCCTGTCCTTCCCTCTGCTGACGCAAAGGCCTTCTCACCCGTCAGAAGGTGAAGCCTTGTCCCTGCCTTGAATGGGGCTGGCCTTGGAACTTGCTTTGAGCCCGAGAACGCTGTGAAGGGATCTGTGTGAGACAGTTTTGGGCCAACGCCTTAAGAGAACTGATGGCCTTTCGTGCCTTCCCTTTCCAAGCCCGATATCTCGAGACCACACTGCTGTGAGGAAGCCAAGCCAGCAGCGGGGAGAGGCCACACGGAGAGAGGGATGTTCAGCCGGGTCCCAGCTCTTCAGCCTTCCCAGCTGAGACGTCAGACGTGACTGAAGAAGGCCATCTCCTCTCGGGGCATTCTTCTCCCAGTGGACACCACGTGGGGCAGGAAAACCACCCAGAGGAAACCAGCGCACATTGCAAAAGAAGAATAAATGGTTATGGTGAGTTATTAAGTTTTGGGGAGGTTTGTTACACAACAATAGATCATTAAAACAGAAGTATAGCTGCTGCCTTGAGCCCCTTGAGTGGCCCCTCCCCTGTGGCCTAGACCCCTCAGATCTGTCTCCAGCACCTCCAGGACGGCTCCCCACCATGACTTAGCACTCAGCAGTCAATTCCCGGCACAGCAGGAAGCTTCCAGTTTCTTGTTCCAGAGTCCATTCTGTGTTCTTTGGGCTGACGTCTGCACATTTCCAGTAAATAAATGCTTTGAATACCTTCACCGAGGGCCAGGTGGCATAGGGTTGTATGGGGGGGGGGGGGTCTTTGACCTATTCAGAGAGGCCAGGGAAGGATTCCCCAAGGAAGAGATCTAAAGTGTGTGAAAGCGTTGATTTGGGGAGAAGGGCGAGGAGGCATGACCACAGAGAAGGTATGTAAGGGAGCTCTGTGGTAGGACAGGAGCAGAAAGAGAAACTGAAAGAAGGCAGGTGTGACTGGTGTGCACAGGGCAAGAGGAATGTGAAGGGTCTGGACCTTGTAATTGTCCTCCCAGAGTACAGCTGGTTAAACTAGAGAGTTCCCCTCTCTAGGCGGGCCAGTGACCAGGTAGAGTGCTATATGCTGCAGGGTGACTAGCCAACCCAGTCCAGTCCCTTCTTTTAGAGAGTTCAAACCAGATGTACCAAAGGAGTCCACTGGCCAAGAGCAGACTTGCAGCTGAACCACTGTCATGGCGGACCTTGGCTGGGGCAATGGATGCCTCTTCCTGATTGAAGACTGAGCTCTAGAATTGCTATAGGGCAGAGGTGGCCTGCAGGCCAGCTGGTGTGGACATTACACCTTTTTTAAAGAAAATTTTTTTATTCTGTCCATCTACACAGGGTTGCCAGTACAATGCTTTATTATTAAATTCGTTGTTAACACTGAAATATCAAAAGTTTTCAAATCGAAACCTTTCAAACATTAGGGAATTTTTTGAGCATTTCTACCATATCTATGGCAATCGTAGATGGAAGTGAGTAGCAGCTACTTGGGTTAGTTGGAGTATGCACAGTGCACATCAGTTTAAAACAGTTTCCACTGCTCGCTGGGGCGATCTCTCAACACACGAGGCCAGTTGTCATATATCATCCTACAGAGGCCCTGCTGCATGTGTTCACGTTACTACCCCCCGCCCCCCAACCCTAGAGGCATTGGACATGGTGATCCCCTTTTGGGACAAGCTGGCTCCCGCTGTAAACGGAGGACCCTCGATGTCCCCCATGGTGTGTGTGACGTAGGACTGCGAGATTTAGCAAACGGAGAAACGAAACGGTAGGAACGACAAAATTAAAGAGGACACCCAGTTTAATTTGAATTTCAGGTAAGCCACAAGTGATTTTTTAGTGGAAGTGTATCCTCAGTGTTGTATTTTCTCCTTCCCAGGAGGGAGGGGCAGCATTGACGGCTGAGATGAATGATGTCCTGGCCTCACTGTTCCTGGATGCAGGCCCCCATCAACTGGGGCAACATTGAGTGAGGCTCTGCTTCTTGCCACATGGCACAGGGGCCAGTGAGCAGCCCGTTCCGAGTAGGATGATGTATGTGGACGTGAGGTGAGGGCATCCCCAATGTGGGAACTTCTGTCCCGGGCATGCACGACCCTCCTAGCACATGGGTCCATTCACCAACTCGGAAGCTCTCTAAATTCCTTCGTCTGGGTTTTTATGGAGGTTCTGTTGCATAAACATGGTTGATTAAGTCCTTGGCCATTGATGAGTAACGCAATCCCCGGTCCTTTCCCCCTCCCCAGAGGCTGGGGGCGGTGGGACTAAAGTTCTAGCCCACTTTTCACAAGCATTACTTACCTGGCAACACTCCCCCGCTCTGCCCCCATCTTCCAAGAATCAGCTCATTAGCATAAACTCGGGTATGACTGAAAGAGGCTAAGTATGAGTAACAAAAGATGCTCCTCTTGCCCCATTCCTCAGGTAATTCTAAGGGTTTTAAGAGCTTTGTGCCAGGAACCAGGGAACCAGGGACAAAGACCTTGGATCACGATATCACAGCTGGAATGGAGAGGGAAGTGACAAGGTGACAGTGTGGATGGCTGGAGAGAGCAGGAGCAGGAGGAATCAAATATGTTGGTGGCACCTCTGTAGTTATCAGATAGTGGCACCACTGCCTGGGGGTTTAATTTCCAAGGAAGCTGGGAGGAGATGCTGCTCTGAAGAGAAGAGCACTACCTTTCTAGATGAATCGATTTTGAGGTGCAGTCAAAAGAAAAAGTCCAGCGAGTGGCTGAAAATTCCGTTAAGTTATAAGAGCCACTAATATTTAATCTGTGCTCACTATGTATTTCCTGTTCTAAGAACTTTGCACATATTAATTTCTTTTTTTATTAACATTTTTTAAAATGTTTATCCATTTCTGAGAGACCGAGAGAGACAGAGCATGAGCGAGGGAGGGGCAGAGAGAGGGAGACAGAGAATCCGAAGCAGGCTCCAGGCTCTGAGCTGTCGGCGCAGAGCCCGGCGTGGGGCTCAAACTCACGGACCGCGAGGTCATGACCTGAGACGAAGTCCGACGCTTAACCAAATGAGCCACCCAGGCTCCCGGCACATATTAATTTCTTAAATCCTCACAAAAATTCTATGAAAGAGATCCTACTATTATTCTTTCCACTTTTGGACGAGGAAACCAAATAACAGAGACATTTAGTAACTGGTCTAAAGTCTCATGGCCAGCGATATTCCACCCTAGCTGTCCCATAGTGCGTTTGCCACACTTCCTCCCACCTGTGACTCAGGTGTATGCTCCTCTGCTCCCCTTTATCAGATCAGTCTAGAGGTGAGAAAAACATGTTTAATTTGTCAATGTCCTATTACTTAGTTAAAATTTTTTAAGGGGAAAAATACAATTAAAACCAGGCACCCAAAATTAAATTGTATTTATGTATGAAAAGAATTGGGATGAGTTCTGGCCGAATGGCACAGGTCTTTTGTGGCATCTAATTAGGATGCTTAAGTTTTACCATTGCTGTCTTGGTATTTAATTTTAGCGGAGAAAAGTAGTGAGATGGCGCGTGAATAGTTAAGTTGTGTCTTTGAAGAGCCTCTTAGACATGCTGAACGTGATTAACAATAATATATTAATTAACTGATTAATACTAGCTTTACAATGGCAGTTTTGTGACAGGAGTAGCTGAAGATACGCTGCTAGCAGGGATTCCAGGGTACTTCATCTTTAAAAATGTGTTTCTTTCGTTCTGTGTCGAACAGGAATGCATTTTCATCAATCACTTGAACTGAAGGCATGCGTTTTTTGCTGGACTGAAAATTGGTATTTTTGTCTTTTTTTCAAGAGGATTGTTGGATCCGTGTGCTCAGATTCATAACTGGCATTGCTCCCTTGTCTTGGAAACAGTGTGAGAGAGAACATTGCGTTCTTGGAATCAGAAACTTTCCCGAGTTCAGCCTTCATCCACACAAGGTCTACGGGAAGAGGCAAAATTTGAGAGATGGGAAATTGCGCCCATGGAGTCATCAAGGGGTCATCACCGAGGTAGCAGATTTAGGACCCAGGTGGATGGGATAATTGCCACCTCTTCCCCCTGAACCAGCAAGTGTGCTTCCAATTTCATCAACAGAAAGGGGACCTGGGGAAGAAAAATGGCTTTACCCTTATGTATCTTTTGGTCTGTTGCTGACTCTGCCACAGGCCTTTTGGGATGTGAGAACGGTCTCAGTGTGTATGCAGCCTGGCTTTTTTTTTTTTTTTTTTTTTTTTTTTTAGCACTATATACTTCTTGTGGTCATAGAGCCGTAAGTAAACGTGGAAAAGGTGACAGCCTGGGGACCTCAAGTTAGGATTGCTGTACGGTGACATTGAACAATGGAGTGTCCCCAGTTCTCCCCAATAATTCACTGCGGACACTGACAGAACATGTGTCTGTTGATGGCAGGGTTGGGGTAGTTTGGGGTGGACTGAAGGCAAAGGCTCTCAGTGCCCTCCAAGATGCTGGTGAGTTCAGAGGACTAAGATATTCAATCATTGTAGGGCAACAGACTCTTCAATACCACGGAAAGTTGGCAAAACCTTGTGAACCTGTGTGAATCAGATACACTGGCTCAAAGTAGATGAAATGGATCAGTTCACATAACTTGGCCTAGTGTTAGGGCTATGGGAATGAAAATGCCCTAGGAGGGGCGCCTGGGTGGCGCAGTCGGTTAAGCGTCCGACTTCAGCTCAGGTCACGATCTCGCGGTCCGTGAGTTCGAGCCCCGTGTCAGGCTCTGGGCTGATGGCTCGGAGCCTGGAGCCTGTTTCCGATTTTGTGTCTCCCTCTCTCTCTGCCCCTCCCCCGTTCATGCTCTGTCTCTCTCTGTCCCCAAAATAAATAAAAACGTTGAAAAAAAAAATTAAAAAAAAAAATGCCCTAGGAGAAATCCTGTGGCAGCTTTGCTGAAGCAGGTGTGTGTGTGTGTGTGTAAGAACCCTTATCCCAAATTGTTATATGACTTCCACCACTTACATCAGAATCCCTTTCTCTTTCTACTGAATGGCATTCTTAGCTCCCAACACCCTCCCAGTTCTCATGCCTGAAGGTCAACTGTGATTTCAACTTGATGCTTTTGCCCTATTGGACACATGATTTTTTTTAAGGTAACTTTTTTTTTTTAAGTTTACTTATTTATTTTGAGAAGACAGAGACAGTGCAAGCAGAGGAGGGGCAGAGAGAGAGGGAGAGACAGAATCCCAAGCAGGCTCCGTACTGCCAGCTGCAGAGCCCGATGTGGGGCTGGAACCCAAGAGCTGTGAGAACATGACCAGAGCTGAAACCAAGAGTCGGATGCTTAACTGACTGAGCCACTCAGGCGCCCTGGACACATGATATTTGTAAACCTAGGAAAAAGCAAGGAAAACTCCTTGGAGATTGATTTGGACACTTGATCAAAATGAATCTTAAAAATATTGATAACTCAAATTCTTTAAAAAGGTAAAAATCAGCTCATTTCAAGCAAGCTCTCCTGCCGGCCACTTGGAATAAAGTTAAAGCACCTTTTGAATAGGTCATCTGAATGCAGTTTTCTCTTGTAAGTGGGTTTAAGCAGGAACAGGTTGCCATTTCCTTGACATCGCTATGTGCTGTTGCACATGTCTGAAGTCCAGACATGAAATGAGGTGTGTGCGTGTGCGTGTGCGTGTGGGCATATGGGACCAGTTTTCCTCACAATGACAAACACATGAGTGGATCCCATGCTTAACCCCTGGTTGTGCAACTTCAAGCACACTGACAATGAGGCGAGCCCAAAGCTGTGCTGCTTGGCCTAGAATGGAAATTCTCCTGCAGACTCCTTTAACTTCTCTTCTAGTAACGGCTGAAGACTTAAGATGAAAACAGCAAGTAAGTCTCTTCAGAAATGAAAGGTATAAGTCATACTTTCACTTTGGGAAAACTCTGCTAATTTGATTACTTACTTGACTTAAATTCACCTGTTCACATCCCAGGAAGTTTGGCTGACTATGTGTTGTATTCTTAGCAGCAATGAATGCAACAAAGATTAGTATTTTATTTCAAAAAAAAACTTCCTTGCTTTTATTTTTCCAAATGGGAATGACGGGAGGGTAATAACAGAATAAATCTATTTGTAAGTTCTTTTTTTAAAAAAGTTTATTTATTTATTGAGAGAGAGAGAGAGAGAGAATGAGTGGGCTAGGAACAGACAAGAAGAGAGTATTCCAAGCAGGACCTGTGCTGTCAGTACAGAGCCTGATGTGGGGCTGGAACTCACGAACTGTAAGATCATGACCTGAGTCAAGATCAAGAGTTGGATGCTTAACCAACTGAGCCACCTAAGTGCCCCTATTTGCAAGTTCTTTAAATGAAAGTCATTAAACAACAGATGGCTTATTTTATGTTCAGATTCTAGAGCATCTAAAAAAAATCTAGGCCATTTATGTTTATTATGTTTAGGGATTGTTTAAGAAAATAGTGTGAGTAAAATATTTCATTTTTCTCTAATAGTTTTACATGAAAATTTGGTTAAATGATAGAGAATTCATGCAAGGGAAAATCTTTAAAGTACTAGTGAAAAGGAGAATGTATATATTCTTCAAAACATTTTTAAACATTTATTATTTATTTTTGAGAGGGAGCACAAGCGGGGAAGGCACAAAGAGAGAGGGAGACACAGAATCGAAGCAGGCTCCAGACCCTGAGCTGTCATCACAGAGCCCAACACGGGGCTCAAGCCCCATGAGATCATGACCTGAGCCAAAGTCAGACGCTTAACTGACTGAGCCACCCAGGTTCCCTGGAGAATGTATATATTCTTAGTAAAGGCTTCTAATCTGGCTTTGTAAATATAAGCTGCAATCACTAAAAAGCAAATAGTAAATTTATTTTCAAGTTTGGTAGCATGTGTAGGACCATAATAATTACTGTCCAAAGGTACTAGGATGTATCATATTATATTCTTTAATGGATTAGTGTTAGGGTTTTTTTTGTGGCCCTTCCCAGTAAACATAGCTTAGCTGAGTAAATGATTATTTTAAGTATCTGTTATAAGTTATAGACGCCTCAGTAGCCTCTTGGTGTTTGGTTGTTTTGGGGAGAGTATTTTCACTTTATGTCTTTATACAAAGATAGGAGGAGAGAAGTGTTGGGCAAGATGAATGGGCACGTTCTAATCGCCTGTGGGGCTTTGTAAAGTACATTCTCTCCCTGACAGATTGTGATATTGTAGAGCCTGTAACCCCTATACGGGACACCAAATTCCTTACTCAATCCTAAATCATGCCTAGAGATGGCTGCTGTGACTGAGGGAGTGTGTCTTATCCCTCAGGCATTTTGGGACAGAAAAAGTTTGTGAAAAAGTTAGTATTCCTGGGGCATCTGGGTGGCTCAGTCAGTTGAGTGTCCAATTTCAGCTCAGGTCATGATCTCACAGTTTGTGAGTTCAAGCCCCATATCAGGATTGCTGTTGTCAGCACAGAGCCCATTTTAGATCCTCTATACTTCTCTTCCTCTGCCCCTACCCCGCTCATGCATCTCTCTCTCTCAAAAATGAATAAACATTTATATAAAAAAAATTAGTATTCCTGACAGGATTTTTATTTCCAGAAATAGGGATATATTCTGTTACCAAATATCATCTGCCCGTCACACAAGATGATGCTATGAATCTGTAATTGGTTGTGGTTTCCAAATAATTTATATTTTAATACTCAACCTAGGATGCAAGATATTTGCGAGTTTGTTTTGAGCACCAACTGGATGGCTTTGCTTAAAGGACCACCATGAGGACTGTTTCAGACAAGGAATCTTCAAAGTTCTGCTCTTGAACCATGGCAGCAAGAAGAAGATATAAGCTCAGTTTCTCTTTTTAACCCACTGAAAGGTTCTGTTATGCAAAAGGTTCTAAAAGGTTCTTTGTGCTGGTACCAAATCCCAGCGATCACGAGAGAGCTTAGGTCTTTCTGGTGGACCCAACAACTTGAATGATGGTCTATCAGCTTTGGAGATTTGACCTTCTGAGATTAGAGACAGCTGTGCAGAGAAAGAATCTCCCCCATCCCATGTTCTACCATTCCCACAGAAATAAATATACTTTCGTTTGAGCCAGCTTAGACACAGAGGAGTCAACACTGGAGCATTTATCTGAAAAGAAAACCCAGGAAAACCCCTGACATATCTTGGAAAGACCTCTAAAAATCTAGACATGACTGTAGTTCAAAGGCCCATGTTTTCTCCTCCCCCAGGCTCTCTCCTGGGGCAGTAGTTCTCAATATTCAATCTGGAGGTTAACTTTTGGCTCTGCGATCAACTATCTGGGTGGAGGGCTACTCAGGGAGCCCCAGCGTCTTCATCTGTCAATAAATTACTCTTTGGGGCTACTATGGGAAGTAAAGAGGAAAGTGAGTATGGCGATCTCAGCACAGTGATGGTCACTAAATCAAAACTAAATAAAGACTCAACAGAATGTTAGCACCTACATCCTTGGGCACATTCACTGCTGGAGGGAGACTGTGACCTGGCATGCCAGAAAACATTGTACTTGCAATTATAATTGCTCTTAGGAACATTTTAATTTTTTTAAATGTTTATTCATTTTTGAGAGACAGAGAGAGACAGAGCGTGAGCAGGGGTGGGGCAGAGAGGGAGGGAGACACAGCATCTGAAGCAGGCTCCAGGCTCTGAGCTGTCAGCACAGGGCCCGATTCGGGGCTCAAACCCGCAAACCACGAGTTTATGACCTGAGCCGAAGTCGGACACTTAACCAACTGAGCCACCCAGGCGCCCTGCTCTTATGAACATTTTAATATACAGATACAGACATATTCTGTGAAGCTGGGAAGTGCATTAGATTAGAAATGGTGAACGTATTTATTTTAAAATAAAAAAGGTAAATTCTGGCTAAGAATGCAATCGATCATTAAATGGGTGGTCTGTGAGGACACAGAAGAGGAAGCAGTGCGAGAAGAACGGGCAAGTGCCGGATAAGGCAATATATATCCAGTGCCCAGTCCCTCATGTGTTTTTTTAAGCCTAAATGGGCATACATGGAAAAAGAATTACGTGAACAGAATCTAAGACTTCGATTCAAGTCTTTGAAACAAGCTTGCTTTTTTGTTTTCTTTAAATGTATGCATACATATACACATGCATTTAGTTCTGGGAAAGGATCACAATGAACTATTAATTTTAAACCCTGTGGGGACAGGCCACGTCCCTGTTTTGTAGAACAGTGCCTGTCTCTAAATAGCATCTGTTGAATGAATGAGTAAATAAGCAATGAGTCAATAAGCAAATACCCAACCACTGTTGCAAAAAACTTGGGAATAACCAGAATGAGGTTTTAATCATATTTGTTTTGTTTTGGGCAACATCTATTGCATATTTTATATTTTAGCTGGGTATCTTTGGGAGAATTGGGGTGTGTGTGTGTGTGTGTGTGTGTGTGTGTGTGTTACAAACTGTTGTCTGTTCTTATAAAATTGTGGGTGTTTTTTGTGGAGTGATTGTGTTCCAAAAGACTCAGACCTGATATGGTGAGGACTTCTGGAAGCTTATGGAGTTAAGGTGTTCATCCTTCACTTTGTGCAGCAGAAGGATCTATAACAACAAACTGGTCTACATGTAGCTATGTGTAAATATGACCGTTCCTGTACATATTGAAGTTGAACAAATATTATCAGCAATCACTAGGTGTCATTGATTTGCAAGGGAGCAAGCAGTAAGGGAATGGAGGTTCTCAATGTCAATCCCCTTGGGAGAAATTGCTCTTTGTCATGGGATGGTGCGCTGGGCCATAGGAGGAGGGCTCTCTCTCTCTCTCTTTCTCTCTCTGCCTTCTCTCAGGTCCTCCTGGCAAAAGTCTGCACTCCAGAAAGAAAGTAGGAGAGCTGGACTTTGAGACATGGTGGCAAAGTAGGAGCCAGGAAAGGGAATTCCTAGGACCCGAGTAGGGTAAGCACATGGGCTAGACTATTAAGCAAATACACCCGTTGAACAAGGTCATCCATATGGTACTTCCATGACTAGCTGGCCTTTTGGGAAAATGAATCCAACAGATTGTGATCATGTCACTCACCCATCTGGGTGACTGGGTTGGAAAAGTATCTAATGGTTTTTAAAGTAAAAGGGCTGTCTGAAACAGTCCTCATCACAAATATGTCTTCTCGCTGGGAATGATTCTCAGGTTCAAGAGCCTTGAGTTCATCTTGTCTGTGTTTCCCCCCTTGTTAAGAGAACAGAATTGTGTTTCTCAGGTCTTCCCTTTACTTGCCCTACTAAATTGGCAAACCTGTAGCAGATAATCTGGAAAAGGAAAGCGAAAGGATCCGGCATTTATTAATAAAGGATCAGTTGTCTATGAGAGGCGTTTTGCGTATGTTATTGAATTCATTCCTCTTGACAACCGTGATGCATGAGTGTTAGTATCCCCATTTCACTGATGTGAAAACGAAGACACAGAAGGCTAAGTCTCTTGCCTGATCTTGGGAATGAGAGCATTGAGCCTAGAATTATTTGGCTCCTGAACACCTGCAAATTTCTTTCAGGGTCTCTCCCTGGGCTTCACTCCCGGGCACTTTTTTCCACCTTCTCTCTGGATGGATATGCATGAGGTAGCATCGAAAGCAGGACAGATGTGCCCACGTGCAGGTGGTTTGGGGGAGCAGGAGCCATCTTGGTGAAGACTCATCTCCTGCCCTTTTCCTGCTTCAGCCTCCTCCCTGCCTCCCCCACCCCTGGGCAATCTCCTGTCTCTGAAAGACGTCACAACAAGGGATTTGTCACCGGAGATCAAACCAGTGATCCGTCCAGCTCAGTTTCCTGCCTCTTGAGTTTGGCCGAGTCACGACACTTGAGCAGGAGGCAGGACGCTGGGCAGCCCCAAGGCGAGCAAACAATATTGCGTGGTATACGTGGGACGAAAACATCCCAGCTGACCCCAGACCTGTGCGTGCCCCAAAGCAGCAGATTTAATGAAGCAAGTGGCCAGGTGAGGTCACAGACCAGATTCCAGGCATGTTTTGCCCACGCCGGCTTGAAGGGTCTCTTTGCATCTTTCTGTCAGATTTATAGACACATCGGAATCTCATTTTTAAAATTCCAGCCTCTGAGCTTTGATATATTTCCTTTCTAGTGCTTTTCTGCTGTGGCCTGAGAAGCGAAAGGAATATTTGCATCTGCGTTGCAATTTCCAGAAGGGGAAACTTTTAAAGGGTCTTTACAATTATTATAATCCCATGTAAAATGTTGGCCTTTTAGGGTACAGGGAGGGAAACGGTAATCTGGTTTTTAAAACATTTTCTTGTTTCAAGTGGAGTTGGTTTATACCCACTACCCTGTCTTGTCATCATGTCATGTCACCCCCACCACTTAGGCGTGCTGACTGCCTCTGAAAGCTGTCGAGATCGTATGCCCTCGCCAAGGCTAACAGCTTGTCAACAAGACAGGTCAAAGGGGCTATTTCAGTGGCCAAGCTGGCAGATTCTGGGTCGGATACTGGAAGGAAACTGAGGCCCAGGGGCCAGTTTGGCCCTGGCTCTCGCAGTAATGGTGTGGGGAGAGGAAGAGTTCTGAGCCCAGGTGCCAAATCAGATGCGGAGGCTCGTGTGGGTATTGAAGGACCAGACCCAAAGCCCCAAGGCCATGGGGATTAGAGATCCATGCCTCAGGTCTCCACAGTCAGCAGGCCAATGGTTGCCTCCTCACGTCTGCGGTGGGTCCTCGATACAGACGCCGGGCCGGACTGGATACGTGTTGGGATCTCTGTCAGCGTGGGTGCCTCACTTGGCCAAGGAACTTGCTGCTGATTCCCCCGACTCCTTTCTTGCTTGGAGTGTAAATTTTGGTCTACTCCTTTCACATCTCTTTTGTGCCCAGTTTTCTCTTGATTGTGAGCTGGAGTTAAGTCTGACCCATGGGAGTTATGGGGATTTAGTCAAAAGAACAACAACCCCGCCCCCACCCCATTCCTCTTCACCCCTCTTTCTTTTATCATGAACTGAAAAAGTGGATCTCTGGATCTTGCCTGGAACTTTTTTCTCAGGTGGCCAGGGTCGCAACACCAGGAGCCAAACTTCAGAGAGATCCTCTGAATGATTCCAGGTTCAAGCACTTCCGGGCGAGGCAGTATCAGGTGCCCAGATTATCATGGTCCGTGTATCTGGAATGTGAACCGAGCCCAGAGTCAGGCTGGTTGAGAAGAAGGCAGATTTGCGTTAGGCGTGGTGGTCAAGAGTTCAAGTTGATTACACTGGCATTTTTCTTTGGAAAGTTGCAAAGCAGTGACATTAAAATATCCTCCCCGCTAATGAAAGGTTTTAATAGAGCAGGGGCAAAGGACGTTAATGAGCATCGTGGCACCCTGGTTGCTGAATTAATGACTAAGTGAGGGAGTCCCAGACGCCAGGCTTATCTGCCATTAGGCATCTCTGAGCGGGCAGGAGGATCAAACTGACAAGCATCACCGTGGAGATGATTGAGTTTCTCAAGCAGCCTGTGTTATTTTAATTAGACCGGGATATTGAGAACATGGTGCATTGATAAACTGAAGAATTAACGAAGGCTGTTTCTTCTCCCTTCGTCTCTTTTCACCCCCTTCAAATGAAGCAATTATTTCCCTGACCTCAGGAACTGAATTTCAAAGAGGTCTGAAGACAGGCTGAGGCCTGCTGCTCTGGTGAATTCTGCGGGGCCCAATTACTGACCTCAGGAGTCAGCATTCCGAAGATTAGAGTCACGGGGAATTTGCTTCACAGACTCACTGCTAATAATATACCTTCCGCGCAGACACCATTAACCTGCCTTTTCCAGTTAGCCGGTCAGGTATGTCTCGGGGCAAAATTGTTATCAGCTCTCAGGGGGTCAGGCCCCGGGCTCTAATTAGAAACAGAGGCACCTGCAAGGGAATGTAATAAAAGCAGCCAGCGAGTAAAGGAGTAAAGGCTGACAGTGAAGGAAGGCAAGGTGAGAAGTCTCCGCCTTGGAACCCACGGGAACAATGCTCCTCTGGTGCGGAAAGAGTGGCGGATCTTACGGTTTCTCCGGCTTCTTCAAACTAGCTCTGATCTTCCCTGCAAGATTTAGTCCAAGAGGCGGCCAAGCGATATTGTTGATATTGACCTTACTTAGAGGCGACTGAGAACACAGTGAATTCTTCCCCTTGTCCCCACACCTGGACACCTCGCTCGCTTATAGTTGAATGAACATTTGTTGAGAGATGCTGGGTGCTGGGCTCTGTGCTTGGATGGACAGTAGGCCCTCTCGGGGGGTTCCCTGAGAGAACTGAGCGTGGATGTCCGGGGTGTCCGCAGTGGCTCGGGAATGAGCTCGTTTCCTATGCAACGTGCCCTCCCTGGGAGGATTGAGAACACGTGGACTCTTTTTCTGTAGGGCTTAATTTCTCAGGTAACATACCCGGTGAAGGCCGGACCACAGGCACAATGCTGTTCCCCGACCCGCCCTGCCATAGCCCAGAGGGACTGGCAGCTGGCCCGGCAATGATGTGGCATGTAAAGGTGACAAAGACCATGGGGTCTGGCAATGATGTGTCATGGGGGTGTGACAAAGATGAGGAGAGGGGGTGCGTGCTGTGGGAGCACACGGATGAAGAGCCAGCTTGCTCAGGGAGGGTAGGAGGGTGAAGGAAAGCCTCTGGATGCTTCCATCTGAAGGAGGTGCAGGAGGTGGTCAGCAGAGGGGAAAGGAGTGTCCAGGCAGGGGGGGGGAGTGCGACAGCAGGAGTGAAGGGACAGAGAACAGATGATTCTAGGTGGACATTTGGGGACTCCTTGGTATTTAGCACAGAGTCTACGTACATGACACGTAGCAGGTGCTCAATCGACACTTGGGTAAATCAATGAAGAAGGGAACGAAGTGTGACTGGAGAAGACAGTGTGGCTGTGGGGAGTGACTAGGAGGGTGGTGAGGGCGGGGAAGGGGTGGGAGGTGAGGGACATGTCTGGAGAAGTCAACAGGAGCCTCGTCAGTCACGTTCAGCAATTCAGGCTTCATCCCAAACGTCCTCAGGGGCTGCTAACTGCAGTGTGGTCATGTAGCCTCTCAGTCATGTGCTGGGAGTATGAGCAAGTATGAAAGCACGCTTCTCCGCTGGAAAGCAGGCCTTGCAATGAGCTGATAACGAATATGCCCTGATCCCCGGCTGAGTCCCCCCTCTGATGGGCCTCTTGAGGTTTCCTTCTCTGTGTGGGCTTTCTGTGTTCCCCCTCTTCTTCTTCTCTCCATCCCTCAGCTTTTCTTACCCCTCTGTTCTCCCCCCAGGGCCCTGGCTCCACCTGGAGTGGAAGAGCCAGAGCCTCAGGTCCCGTGGTTTGGGAGAAAGGTCCAGTTCTTCACATTGTATGGCAAAGCAGCCCCGAGTTGACCCCGTAGTGTAACTCTGCCGTGTCACTATGCCCAGGGCCTTATTGAACATTGTATGATTCCACCCCTGTTCTCTCTCCACTTACCAACTTTCCAAAAGTACCAAGTAGGTAATGGCACTGCGTTAGGGCCGTGGAATTAGCAGGAACTCTTCGCAAAGCTGTCACGTTTCTGGGCAGGTTAGCTTTATTTTAAACATTCATTTTATAACGGAAGCAGTGTTTCAGAGTGGTTTTTGCCTTCACTGCAGGACTCTGCTCTTTCCAGTGATCAAGAATCTTTTCTTGACCCTTTTATAACATTCACACCGAATTTATTCCATCGCAGACTCTGAGAGACTCTGAGAGACTCTGAGACTTAAGGTTGGCTTCCAAATGGACCCCTAGTGGGGAAGCTGGTCCTGGGGCGGGGGGGGGGGGGCGGGGAGGGCAGACTCCGGGCGCTCACACCCCTGCTTTGACCACAGGGACTTGGCACTGCTCCGGAGCTACCCTTGGGGTCAGATTCTGTCAGAGTCCGGGGTTCCACAGTTGAGCAAAGGCTGAGAACCACTGCTCCAGAGAGCAGCTGCAGGCTGACTGCCTGGAAATGGGCAAAGAGCCACTGAAAGTCAGCACCATTGAGTGCCCTGTCTTCAGCCAATGGCCTGGAGCACAAGTGCCCACGAGGTTCACTACAGCTGCACTTTAAGGACCTGCGATCATTCTCCCGTTTCTTCTGAGAAGTCTTGTGACAAACCACCCAAGAGATTTAAGAGATGAATCCAACCGCGGGAAGCAATCAACATTTTTGACTTTTCTAGGTATCAGGCCTCGTGCTAAATGCTTTATGAGGGTTATTCCTCTTACCTCCCTCAGAAACTGGAGGAAGAAGTTTGGGGAAAGAAGCGGAAGAAATGTGGACGTTAAGTCTAAGAAGTCCTCAACGGAGCACAGATGAGCCAGAAAGAACATGGTTTCAAATTCCTCAATTCGAAGCTGCTAGATTGGAAAGGTCAAATTGGAAGCTACGTCTTTAAACGTTTCAACTTGTCTTTAGTAGGGTCATCAACAACAGATGCCATGGAGCAATGCTGTGCACATTCTAGAATTGAGGCTCTCACATTTTCATCCGTAAATATCACCTGGAAGTGTGACAGAACTAGAGACTTTCAGTCTCCACCCGCAGAGATACTAATTCAGGACATTTATTATCAGCTGAGAATTGCTGGCAGACTGTACTGATAGGAAGGTCAAAGCGACCACCATTAAACCTGCAAGCTGGCTCTGTTTTAAGTTCATTTGCATCCGAGAAAGGCATGGCCGCTAATTACCTCAGAAACCGGATTGATCCACTTTTGGTCATTTTACTGAGAAGCATTGAGCAAGTGTGGCTGGAATTCAGGATGGCCCGGTATGTTCAGCATTTATCTTACTGTGATAGAAATATTCGTCGTCCTTGTCTTCTTTCGTTGTTTTCTTATAAACTGCAAGCTGTGCTAGTAAGTAGCCAAGCCTTTCTTCACAGCCTATTATTTTGTGGAATGTGTCCCTGTGCATACAACCAAATCAGCCTTGAAACTATATTTCCCATATCAGTAAGCTTGGAGACCATTTGGGAAGACCCTTTCTTCACTGGGGCCAGAGAACTCCTACTCTTGTTGGTTTTGAATGTTTCTTTGGCTGACCATGCCCTCGTCACCCTGTCAAATCTTATTGATCCTTAAAGGCTTATTACAAATGTCATGTCCTCCTAAAGCATTTCCTGATTTACCTCTTCCATATCCCTTTTCCTGAATAGTCAACTCTGACTGCCATTACCTTTGAACCCACAAAACTCGTGGTTATAATTCTTTAATGGAGCATCTTTTCTTTTTTCTTTCCTTTGTTTTGCTTTGCTTTGCTTTGCTTTGCCTTGCCTTGCCTTTCTCTTTTCTTTCCTTCTCTTTTTTCTTGCTTTCTTCCATTTTTATTGCTTTATTCACTTACTTAGAATGCTTATGACAATACTTAAGCGCTACTGAAATAGGTATGGTCAGAAGTGAAACCTCAGTCCTTCATGTCAGTTTCACTCCCCACTATAGACCTTTCAAAAGGTATTTGCAATATGTATGTCTCCACATATCCACCCCTTCCTCCTAAACACACACAGACTTATTGTGCTTTTTGGGGGGGGGGGAGTTTCGATCCAGAACAAAGTAGGCTTCCTTTCAGCTGCTCCAGCACGTGTAGAATTTCAAAGAAGGTTCAGTCTGTCCTTTAATTTGGATTTAAACAACAGTGCAACCCATAGATAAATTTGTGCATGGGTTTCCTAGTCTCTCCACCTTGCTTCGACCTTTTTGAGGGCACGAGGCTTTCTCTGTGGGCTCTCCTGATGCCACCTCCCCCTCCCCCCCCCAGCAGATTCTTACAATTGTAGATGACAGTGCTGCCAGGACCGGTTCCTCACCATCTTTCTCTCCCTCCTCAGTTCTTTGGCTTTTTATTCTTCACCTAGGGCTTGGAGAACCTTGTCTGTGAAGGGCCAGCATGTAAACATGTTAGGCTTTGTGGGCCATGGAGTCTCTGTTGAACTGTTCACCCCAAAAGCAGCGGAGGCAATGTGTAAATGAATGGGGGTGTCTGTCTTCCAATAAGCCTTACTTACAGACACTGAAATTTGAATTTGATTCCTTTTATCTTTTTCCCCATTCGACAATGTGAAAACTGTTCTTAGCCTGTGGGCCATACAAAATTAGGCAGTGGTCCAGTTTGGCCTAAGGAACATAGGTGCCAACCCCTGCCCTTCCCCAAACTTCACATCCTTTTGTATCTGGCTCCTGATGAAGTTGCCAGCAATTTTCTATTTGCCTTATAATGGGTGGAGCTGGGGCATGGATCTTCAGATTCTGGGGCCTGAAGAGGGGAAGCAGAAGGGCTCTCACAATGTTCTGGCCTTCAGGTAAGTATCTCAGATGCAACAAACAAAAAGCAAGATTAGAACTTCTGATCTTCCTGCTCTTCTGTGTTTTTCTTACATTAAAGGAGTATTTCCTTCCAGTCTTGATTTAAAGCATCATTGTTTATTGTACATATTTTATTCTACTTGACTCCATATAATTAGTTTCCTGAAAATAAGGGCTTTTAAAACCCTAGTGTCTCTGCATCATCTATCCAAATGTCTGGTACCAATTCAGTCCTCAAATCTTTTGAAAGGAACTGATCGTAAGAATTCCTATCAACCCTTTATTTCTCAACCAACACTCTTTATCCACATTCTATCCATTTCTACTCCTTTCTACTATTCTCTCTATAAGTTAGCAAATAGAAAGCAACCAGAACATGTCTTCAAAATTCTTTTACATAGACTTTCTTGGAAACCAAGAAAAAAATGGGATATGATGGACGGAAGATAAATCTACCTCTCTAGACATAGTTTCATTTCTTTTCCCAAATCCCAAGGCTGCTCTCCCTGGGAACGCAGGGCACAAATGTGTTCACCTGCTGTCCTGGGATGAACCTCAACATGGTTTTGTGTGGGCTTTTAAAGTGTTCAACACTCACAGCCACTTATATGACGATGACGATAAGATTCTGCTCGTGCTTTGGTTGAATGTATCTTACATCTGTGACTGAGTCTAACGTTGCTCTGATCCCCCACCTCCACCCTAGATCTGCTTTCCCTGCCTTTCTTGAAAGCAGATGTGGAATTCGTAGTAGACAAGGGGTCTTTCTTTATGTGATTCATGTCAGAGTTGTAGTGACCATGGAGAAATGTACATAGATCAGAATGGCAGCGGGGAGTGGACTGGTCAGAGAGAAAGGTGCCCCGACGTACTTAAACATATCTTTGGCTCTGGAATCCAAGCTAACATATCAGGGTCTTCGTTTACAAAGTTTTCCCTGGTCAAAAAATAAAACGTCTAACAAGCCTAAAGTATACTCAGTAGCCGTATTAAAGTTCTCATAAATCATTTATGAGATGCAAAGTAAACATGCCTGGCTCTTTGTATTTTACTTCCTTGGCATAACACACGTTTCAGCTGGCCTCACGTCAGCATGAGTATTTTCCTCAAACATTCAAACTCCTCCTTCTAATGTGATATTTCATTTTATTTTATTTTATTTTATTTTATTTTATTTTATTTTATTTTATTTTATTTTATTTTATTTTATTTTATTTATTTTTTTGAAATGAATACTTGACTTTCCATCCTCTAAACAGCCAACCATGTGGCCCATACGGGCAGTTCCAAAATGCAGGCTGCCATTCCTGACAGTGTGATGTCCTACTGCTGGTAAGCCAAAGAGTAAGCACATGCTATATTTGTCTACACTGGGCCTTTCCTGGACACAGTTGCAAGAAATCATGGAAACCTGTGGCACTTCTTCTTTTTTTTTTTCATTTAGTTTAATTTATTTTTTTAACTTACATACAAATTAGTTAGCATCTAATGCAACAGTGATTTCAGGAGTAGATTCCTTAATGCCCCTTACCCATTTAGCCCATCCCCCCTCCCACAACCCCTCCAGTAACCCTCAGTTTGTTCTCCATATTTAAGAGTCTCTTATGTTTTGTCCCCCCCCCCGTTTTTATATTATTTTTGCTTCCTTTCTTTTATATTCATCTGTTTTGTATCTTAAAGTTCTCATATGAGTAAAGTCATATGATATTTGTCTTTCTCTGACTGACCAATTTCGCTTAGCATAATACCCTCCAGTTCATCCACGTAGTTGCAAATGGCAAGATTTCATTCTTTTTGATTGCCGAGTAATACTCCATTGCGTGTGTATACCACATCTTCTTTATCCATTCATCCATTGATGGACATTTGAGCTCTTTCCATACTTTGGCTATTGTTGATAGGGCTGCTATAAACATGGGGGTGCATGTGCCTCTTTGAAACAGCATACCTGTATCCCTTGTAAATGCCTAGTGGCAAAATTGCTGGGCTGTAGGTAGTTCTATTTTTAATTTTTTTTAAACTTAATTTTTTTTAAATGTCTTATTCTTGAGAGAGAGAGAGAGAGAGAGAGAGAGAGAGAGAGAGAGAGAGACAGAGCAGGAGCAGGTGAGTGGCAGAGCGAGAGAGGGACACAGAATCTGAAGCAGGCTCCAGGCTCTGAGCTGTCAGCACAGAGCCCGATGCGGAGCTTCAAGTTATAGACTGCGAGATCATGACTTGAGCCAAAGTCGGACACTTAACCGACTGGGCCACCCAGGTGCCCCAACTTTTAAAAATTTTTTGAGGAACCTCCATACTGTTTTCCAGAGTGGCTGCACCAGCTTGCATTCCCACCAACAATGCAAAAGAGATCCTCTTTCTCCATATCCTTGCCAACATCTGTTGTTGCCTGAGTTGTTCATGTTAGCCATTCTGACAGATGTGAGGTGGTATCTCATTGTGGTTTTGATTTGTATTTCCCTGATGATGAGTGATGTGGAGCATTTTTTCATGTGTTTGTTTGCCATCTGGATGTCTTCCTTGGAAAAGTGTCTATTTATGTCTTTTGCCCATTTCTTCACTGGATTATTTGTTTTTATGGGTGTTGAGTTTGATAAGTTCTTTACAGATTTTGTATACTAACCCTTTATCCGACATGTCATTTGCAAATATCTTCTCCCATTCCGTCGGTTGCCTTTTAGTTTTGCTGATTGTTTTCTTCGCTGTGCAGAAGCTTTTTATTTTGGTGAGGTCCCAATAGTTCATTTTTGCCTTTGTTTCCCTTGCCTCCAGAGACGTGTTGAGTAAAAAGTTGCTGTGGCCAAAGTCAAAGAGGTTTTTCCCTGCTTTCTCCTCGAGGATTTTGATGGCTTCCTGTCTTACATTTAGGTCTTTCATCCATTTCGAGTTTATTTTTGTGTACGGTGTAGGAAAGTGGTCCAGGGTCATTCTTCTACATGGCGTTGTCCAGTTTTTCCAGCATCATTTGCCGAAGAGACTGTCTTTATTCCATTGGATATTCTTTCCTGCTTTGTCCAAGATTAGTTGGCCATACATTTGCGGGTCCATTTCTGGGTTCTCTATTCTGTTCCATTGACCTGAGTGGCTGTTTTTGTGCCAGTACCATACTGTCTTGATGATTACAGCTTTGTAGCACAGCTTGAATCTGTGTCACTTCTGTTGCCATAATATGGTTAAGAGTGAGTGTTGGCAAATGACAGCAATGTTTGCTTTTGTATGTTTCATGAGCTAAGAATGATTTTAATATTTGAAAATTCTTTCCAAAAATCAAAAGAAGAATATTTAGTGATCTGTGGAAACTGCATCAAATTCAAATTTCAGTGTCCACAAATAAAGTTTTGTTGGCTCAGAGCCACCCCCATTTGCTGATGTGTTACCTGAAGTTGCTTTTGCTTACCCTGGTGGAGCTTAGACCTTCGGCAAAGGCCTGGAAAGTCCTTCACAGAAAGAGCTTGCTGAACCCTGG